GAAGGTTCCCAACAAGCACAGCTGCTAGGTCTGTGCAGCAGCAGAATTAGGGGACAAACAACCCAGCTGTGTTCCTGAGGGAGTTTGCTAAGTTAATGAATGAACTTACATAATGCGACGTCCTCTGACAGCAAGAGATGGCTGTTTCTTCTCAAAGCAAGAGTCTTAAACTAACAGAGAACAAACAGCCCTACATAAACTGAGTTTAACATCCAGTACTTTTCTGAAAACATAGTCTTCACCTGCTCTGCATCAACATTTACCGGTTTCTTCTCTCTTACTACAAGCTCAAGACCAGAGCTCAGACACCAACGTTGGAACTCCAAGTACAAATGCACTGCTGTGGAAGGAATCATCAGATGGGACTGAAACTATTGACACCAAATCTTGAATTTTTAAACTCTTCTTTCTTTTTAACCAAGACTCGGTCTTTCTGCATAGATTATATATATCGTTAGCCTTTTAATGAAGAGTCTTCCTAGAATGCAGTAGTTTGCTTTCTATACTCCCTAACAAGAGAAAATTGCTTGCTTAAACCAGTGTGCAGATGTTCTGGCTGTGATTATGGGAAGAGGGACTGTCTGAAAGACAAATATTATGAACTGTGTTAGAATAGAAACAAATGGTGATAAGACATCTGTCAAACATACTTGTGACCACTTTCTGTGAAAAGCAATTCAATGGTGTATAAAACAAGCAAACAACTAGGAGCATCCCAGGCTTCCATATAAATGAATTATTCTCTACCAAAAAAGCTGATGTGTAACAACTTGACACCTCCCAGTCAACAGCTTTGCTATTTGATAAGCTACTGACAAAAGCTGCTGCTCTGACTACATCTCCTAAATAGAAAGGTCTTCACAGACACATCTCATCTAACAGAAGACAGTGACTGTGTTTAGATTTTCTTCTACTTTCCCACCATTCCAAAAATAGGATGTGTGTTGGATAAATTCTGACTGGAAAAATATTAAATAACTGCACCTACATACTAAAAGCATTGCTATCTCATGTTTAGAAATAACTTAGGCTATAAGATACTGTGGTCTCATTGAAATGTTCAGAGCAGTTCTAGAAAAAGATACAGAAAATGGATCTTATGCACCTTTCTCATGTACATTCTTATAAGCATATTATCCTATGCAAAAGTTGATCTAATACAACATAATCTGCTCAATGGGGAATAACAAGATAATTTGCTCTTTTTTTGATCTCATTATGGAAACAACCCTCATTCTTTCCCAAAAATATGCTCTACTGAAAATACTGTTCATACCATGGCAATGTTGATATTTAGATATGTATCACTTTTTACTGTATCATTACAATTTATGTCACTTTCGGCTTAATTTTGAGTAGTCAGTCATATTTTTATTTACAAATGTTGATTAATTAAGTTTTTGAAAATATTTATCCTTAAAAGTAAAAATGGGGTTTTTTTCCCCTCCCTAAGTGGCCTGCATGTATCTCTGTGCAAAACTGAAATAAAACCTTTCCTGTTTGTTTACATGAATAAGAATAATATGCATCAAATTATGCTTTGGACTTTTTAAAGACTGGTGTAAAAGATGGGTGCCTGGTCTCCTACTTCTAGTTCTAAACCAATTTAGCAAGCTGGCAAACAATTTGTCTGTGACTGCTTCAGATCAGAAAAGCTGAAAATATTGTAGTTGCCTGAGCCAGCGCAAGCCCCGGGAGGACACGCGTTCTGTTTGATGTATCCAAGGAGAGGTCAGTCTTCTCTGCCAGTCACACAGCAAATGGGAAGTCTCCAGTGGCAAGTCAGGAACTGTTTTCTGAGCAGGACAGGCTGCTCCTGCAAATCTGGTTATGCCAGGTCCTCTACAATACTCCTCTCCATCAACAAGGCTGGTAATTCTTTAATTGCTGCACCCTAAGCTTAAATTCTGCTCTAATTGCTCTTCTCAAAAGGAAAGGTATATTCATACACCAATGTTGCAAGGTAACAGTGAGATTTATTAAAGTGTGGGAAAGCTCGTGGTAAGTGGGTAAGAGAAAAAATCAGGAAAAATAAAAGAGGTAGTGGAAAGCATAAGTAGCATCACTAAAGGCAGTTGTCAGCCTCTTCCATCTCCCCGCCCCAAATATCTTGCATGCACATAAATTATTCCTATGTGCATACAACTCTTTCCTTCTTTGGGGAGAATTCAATATGTCTATACACTAAATTATAACTATGCTTTGGATCAAAGCTACCCATTTCCATAGTTTTGAAGAGATTTTTTTTCTCAGACTTTCAGGTGGAACAAACACTCATAGCCCCTCAAATCCATTTAAAATATCAGAGGAGTAGTTAGGGCTTTATTAGTTTTTAATGTGCTTTACTGGCTGTAATCGTAAATTGTTTTGTCAGCTTTTGTAATTATCATGGTGTTATACACAATTCTGACTGTTCTTGAATGGATGATGAATGCACAGATGCACACAAGCATGCAAATCCTCTCTACGGATTTACGACCAAAAAAGATCCTTTTCTAGTGCTGGTGAAAGATGCACTTAAAGGGGATTCTGTACCTTTCTTCGAGAGCTCCAGAGGGAAGCTTTAAAAAGTTAACACCATTTGATAAAACAAAAACTAATTCGTTCTATCCTACCGTGTGTTAGAAGTGAAATTCTGAAGAAACATGGTGAGATCTTCCTTTAATATATATCCCAATAACCCATCACAGTTTTATTCCTTCCCCAGTGGTTGCATTTTCCCTGTCAGTTCCTGTGCTCTTCTAAATCCCCTGGGTATCTTTTTCCTCCTAGCAGTTCTCCCGACACTCCCTTCGGAGCTGACGTGTTCATTCTCCTAATTGAAGTGGTTTGATTCCATGCTTAAGACATTTTGCAGACGGGCTTTAGGATTGGTGGGATGTATCAAATCATTGACAAGATGGAAACTTGTGTCATTTAGTGAAATGTTACAATTTCTCTTCAATTTCATCATTTAACCTTACCCTGACCACTTGCCCCTGGGCTTGAGGTGAACAATGTCACCTCTTCCTCAATTAACTACTCTCACTGTATTAATTGGGCTTTAGATCTCCTATGGAAAGTCAAAGGTTGCTATAACAAGTTAAAAGCCATCCTTTAACACAGATGCCAAGACAAAGATATTCTTCTCTATGTTAGTGCCTTCCCTGTCAGTGCTAGGTTTTGCTACAATGTACACAAAATTTAGCATGCTTCTTGGACTGTCACTGTTTGCTAACCCTCAGGGGAAGCTACCATGGCATTATTGAATTATTACAATGTGTGTGTGTGTGTATATATATATATATATATGATTTCCTAATCAGTGTCTCTGTTTTCTTCTCCATCTTCATGTAACAGAGAAAATACAGGTTCCAGATTCTGCAGTTTTACATGGAGAACAAAATATCAGGAATATCAGGAAGATAATACAATGGACATGGAAGACAAGTTCTTCCATCAGATGCTTTACTGGTAAACAAAAAAAAAAATTAGGAAAAAATTATTTCTGGAATTGTGTAGTCAAAAGTTTGATTATTCGAATTTTTACTTTAAATTGAGTGAATTACATACATTTAAAAGGAATTCTGTATATAAAGACCATATGCAGCTTTGTTTCTGGGGGTTTTTTTCACTTATTTTTTAATGATTGCATCTCACAGAAATACTAACATTGTTCAAACTACACTAATGAAAATTTCTAAAAAAGTATTATAGCACGTCTGTTAGTATCCTTCAAGTATTTACAAAGATGTTTTTGCTTTCAGATGTTCATAGTATGATGGGAATTGGGGGTGGAAAACCACTTTTCAAGAGCAGACTTCAAAATTATGTCTTTTGTGAAAATATAATTTTGTGAAACACTCATTGGCTTAGGCTGAAATAGATTCTGTCAAGGCTAGATAGAAATAGCAATATTAGCACCTGGTCTGTGAAAGCTGTTTTTCTTTTGGCATGCAGTTGCCAATATTCAAAAAAAAATTGCAAATCGGAGGGCTACATATTTATGAGAACCAGTCTCCATAAATCTCAGATTTTATCATGTTAGAAGTTTCTTTCTAAATGAGAACAGTAAACTTGTAAGTGAAACTTGCAAATCAGTTTTATCGCTGTCTATATGTGCATATGTATGATTTATAAATGTACTTGAAATTCCAAATCGAGCTTGTAAGTAGGTCTGATAAGTTTTTCTACTTTCTGCATCAGTGCTGTGACTCAAACAGCTGCAAATTTTCAGTTCTGTGGTCATCTGCAACAATAGAAAGCTACAGAAAAGAGGACTGTAGGCCAAATTAGTTGTCTTTCTAAAATAATATAACATAAATCAGTTAAAAATATTATCTTCCCCTATTACTACAGTACAGACAGCACTTACAGGAACCTCTGTTGTTCCAGGTAGCTGTAGCACTGATTCAAACCAGTAATAGCTTGCCATGATAATAAAATTATTTATTGTCTGCATATTCTGTAAATTACATTCATTCTGAAAAAATAGTAAACTGTCTTCAGGTCTATTTTATATATAAGCAATAGTTTCATCATCAAAGCTAAAGACAATTAAATATAGAATAACTGATGACTTTAGGCATCAAACAAGTCAAAAGATTGCATTCTTTTAGCACTTTGTCAGCCCCAGATCATCTGAAACACAACTGAATAAAGGAGATATTTCTGGTCTTAATATAATTTATACACTGTGAAATATTAAAAATGTGAACCAGAAGTAAATATACCAGAAGTAGATACTACTGGAGGTCAAAAATTTTTTAATTCTTATGAATTTTTTCTAGTTGTTTGGTTGCTTGGTAAACTGCTAGAAAAGCATTTCATGGCAATAACCTCCAGAGATCTTTGTAAAGCAGTTTTACACACTTTGGACATTCTTCCCCTCATGTTATTACATGTTCTTTATGAGGTTATCTAGAAATGTTTCCTTGTTATTACACTTGTCTGTCTGAAGTTGGAGCGCACCTAAAATAAGCCAATTAATTAGTCATGATGGGCTCTTTTCAGCTGCACACTCATTTTCAAATGAATTTATTGAAGTAAAGGATTTACAGCATATGGACTCACAGACTTCTCATGAGTTCAACTGGCATCCATATGTACAGCTTTCAGTAGAGAATGCTAGAGTAATATTTACAATGTAAATATCAACTTTTATTACGTAAGAAACAAATATATCACAACTTTCACTTCACAACATATTTGTTCTGGTTTGATGACTAAAGTCATCTCTTTGAAATACTATGTGGAACTCAAAAATAGCTTGTTCTTGTCATAGACTTTACCAGGTGTCCTTCAGAGGTCCTGAAAAGCAAAGGAGAGATGTGCTTTAGAAGTCACTTTTGCAAGCAGTTGCATCATGAGGTGTACGAGGGCAGACAGCAGGCATTGAGTGACACTTGATACAAAACAATTGCTGTGCTTGGGACTGACAAGCTGAGATGTGGCTGCTCACAGGAGTTTGCTGGGCATTACACTCAGACAAGACCGTGGGATCAGAAATGAAAGGTTGAAAGACTAGAGAAAAATGTTACTGCAGATTAGCCTACAGCACAGAATTGCTCACTTTGAGAAAACCTGTATCCATGAAATGGATACACAAACTCAGGCTGCTCTTTCCACACTACATTAGCAACAGGGCACTGCAATAAAATGGCAAGTAAGAGTCAATACTGATTCACCTACAAGCAGATCTGCCTCATCAGTAAAGTCAATAAAAATGGAAAGGACTGAAAATGTTTTCAGGAAGTTGCTGCACCACTACTCGTTCTTCCTTAGTTAATGCCAGAACTTTGAGAAGCTGCAAAATCCAAGAGCAGATATTTCTTGCATTAGTCTTGTCTGGAAAGATCATTTCTTTCTAGAATAATTATGCTTAAAAATTATTTAATTCTTCAGTGCACAAGCAGTTTATGTCCTTTCTAAACTTCAAGAACTTAGAGGAATTGCCACATTTGTGGAAAGGAAAAGAACATCTTCTCATTTTATTTCAGTCTTGCAAGGAAACAACATCTTTTTTGGGTCAGAGGGATGGGTGGTTTGGGATGATACAAGAAAAGACATTTATCCAAATTTTATCTTCAAGAATAGCCTTTTAATCTTTTTTTCTTACTTTCTGAGACACAGCTGAATGCCAAAAACTATCCAATCATCAATTTCATAAACCATTTTCAACAATACCAAGCCAAATTTGCTTCTACCTTACTCTTTCAATATTTTGTTCCTGCAAGTGTTGATGTAGAAGGCATTATGTTTGAGTAAACTAAAAAGAAAATAATTGTGAATGATTTTAGAAAAAATAGTAGTAGCTAAATGGAAAACATTTACTGCAAGATTTGCATGTCAAGTACTTTCTTAATGCATAAGGCTCATCTTGCTGATGCTCTTAGTTTTAGGGACAACTTTCCAATGAAAAAGATGTTAAACAAAATCTGCAGCATTTTTTTAATTAAAAGAAATATCCTCAAGTTTGTTCTCTGAAGAAATAATGATCTTTGTAATTAAAAATGAGTCACTTCTGGTTTTATTCTGCAGTGCTCACTGGTTGAAACACCCAAGTGAGTTAGGCGCATTATGAACAGTGCCATTTAATTAGGAATTTTCAATAGCAGCAATCATGTGATAACACTTATTATTAAAACTATTATTTTGTTGAATAATAATAATGTTTCTTACATTACAAACAAAGCTTTTCATGGAATATGACTCCCTTTCCTAGAAAATGCTGATTTTCTGACAGGCCACACTCCATGTATGATTAATGTCATTTTATGGGTCAAGTCAAGCAACAGATAGCAAGAGAAAAGGCAATCTTGGCATCTCACCAGTGGGAGGTGGCTCAGCAGCTCATCTACAGATTCGTAGTTTTCTGAAAAGGATGGTTCAAGAAGTTCTGCCTCATCTCGAAGTTTAGCAGGATTTAGCTCTTCCTGGCTGTTGTGGATCAGAAACAAGTTTTATTGATCTCAGAAGAAAAAGCAAAGAAAGCAAAGCCTTCTTCTAACTGTAGCTTCTACATTTTCTATACTTAAACCACAGTGTTACAGAACATATGAAATTGCATGTTTAATGAATACTGAGACATGATATTTAAATGCAGTTGTCTAAATGAGTGAACATACACACAGAATACAAGGTCTATAAAAATGTATGTTGGCACATCTCACCTATACTGATGAGGACATATAGTCCTTTAAGGATTTTTAAATTTTCATTTCGTGTGTTCACAGAGAGGCAAATTTTCAACATATTTCTTTACAAAATTGTTGTTCATGTTCCATAACTACATGTTTTTTTTCCTTAAGAAGATTTTTTCTAAACAAAAAGTATTTAAGTATCTGTTGGAAGATTGTTTAAGTTGCCAGATGCTATCTCCTCTTTATTCTTCTATTCTGATTGTGGTGTCTGTTCCAGCCAGGGAAAAAGTGTTGTCTCCATTTAAAAACCACACTGTAAACTATGCTATCAAGTCATTAATGTTCCGTGCCTTTTGTTTATCCTCTCTGTATACATACATGGAGGTAAACTTTTTCTGTCTTGATGCCATAAAAGTATGGAAAGAATACATATGTGCTTTCTTGTAGTACCTTCTTTTTCCAGTTAAAACTGAGTTTAAGTATTTCTTCACAGCCATCTGCTTTCGAAAGCGGCTGTAGTTGTCAGTGAAAACAGCATCAGAGTGGCGTTTGACAGGACTGTCCTGGGAGCTGGCAACACAACAATTACAAAGGAAAAGTTAACAGATGACATCTGTTTAAAAGAAAACACCATTAAATGATTGAAATAAGCTTTATTATATTGATTAGCCTAATAAAATCAAATTTTCAATTCAGCTTTCATTTCCATCTATGACTTCGGATCTTTCTTCAGCTGAGAAAAAGCCACTGCTTCCACTGCTTACTATGTATTTTAATAACACGGATCAAATTCCAAAAATTGTTATTCAGCTTTTTGGGGAACACCTTCCACCGATGTTTTCTCATCTAAGTTTTGCCATGGCCTATGCAATTAGGATACATAGTCAATGATTTCTAAAGTCCTTGTCCCAGGAGTTCCGCAAGACCAAGTGGTTAAGTGTGAATTTCATGATTCCTGCCTGTTCTCACACCCCAGGTTGCACTTTTCAATAAACAGACTTTATTCTAATTTCTGTAATTTGTGTGAATATATTTCAATACAATGCCAAGGTACAACCTGGTTTAAGTTGCAATAAGCTCTTAAGGACCTCATCACTGTTCACACTGAACTCAGCGGGGGTGGAGTCTGCCACCGAGGAAAGTTAGAGTGCATCATCACATAAAGCTATAAATGCTTGTTCTAAGGTTTCAGAAGACAAAATACACCTTATGAAAGCCAAACCTGAGGGTCTTTTCTTCATGCACAATCTTGGGACATGTCAGGGTGTTCTATTTTAAACGATCTATGTTAGTTTACAGCATATGAGAAACTGGAACTGTATGTTCTGGAACAAAGGCAGCACTGACAAACGGAGGATCTAATTTTTACTCGGCTTTTGAGAAGGTTGTGAAGTAGGTACTCAGTGGTATCGTCACAGTGGCTCACAGTTGCTGCTTATGGATTTGAAAACAAGGGAAGTATACAGTGATCCTACCCAGCACCCTGTGCCCATTAGTTTACTGACATATTGGTCTGGAAGCTGCATCCAGACCCCTAGTCTACAAATTTGCCTCATTCTTTTTTGAATTCTGCTGCAATACAGATATCACAAATACCTGTCAATGTGTTCTACAGCAGAAAAGAACTATACCTTTACTTTTTCACTATAAACCAATCATTTATTGATTTCATTGTGTATTTCCCTGTTGTTAAGTACTGAGTAATCAATCACTTTGTATTTACTTTTGCCACTCATCCACCAAGATAGCAAAAACACTACCAAAAAAAACAATTAGCAATTCTGCACGATAACCATTATAACATTTCCAGTACACATTATCCACGCTTTGTGCAGTATCTGTTGCTCTAACTCTCACGGCTGTGTCAGGAATAAATAGTAACATACTCATTTAGTAATATCACTAAATACTTACATAGGATTTTTAGCTCCCCCATAATTATATAAGCTTCTCTTTGGTATCTCTAAATCAAAAGAAGGAGACCTTGGATACAGAAGGGTAAAAAAAATTGCCAATAAAGCCAGCTAGGAAAAAAAAATCTACCTAATGTGTCACCTCACCTAACTCGTTTTCTAATAAGCGAATGCAGATATCTCTTCACAGCAAGTTTAGCCAAAAGATGGCTGTAGACACTGGTGAAAATTCCATCAGCATGCCTTGCATTTCTGAAATGGACAATAAATAAACTCTACAATACAGCCTGGGTTCATATAATTTTGATAGCGTTCATTTTGCAAACATACTGCTTTCCTTTATTTAACTGTTGCACATATTAAAGGGAACTAATTTCATAAAATAACTTTCAGATTTTCACAATATACTTTTTACTCCTTCCTGGAAAGTGAATGCATTCATCATGCCAGAATGGCAATACAATCAATATTTCTGCCGACATCCCTACTGCTACCACTATGCAAGCAGTGGCTGTGGGATTTTCTTCCATAATTGAGTCTTCCTTTCCTAATCTCAGTTTGAAAATGTGAATGATTTTTTGGCAGAAATCAAGTAGTCCATCATCTTTTGTATTTGTGATAATAAAGAAACTCACCTATCAATAATTCTGGACAGATCAAAATAGAATTTCTCATTTTCAGGTAGTGTGTTCTGCAAAAGATCTGCTTCTGACTTTAGTGACCCACGGGCATGGTCAGGTTCACTGGCTCCATCAAAAGGCATTCTGTTTCCCAATCTGTTGGAGAAAGAAACTGTGTAAAGTACAGCTAGCTGAGGACATGCGACACTTTACCAGAGATAACATTCTGGTTTGTGCCAAAACGCACATCTACCTACTTTCATCAGTAAGGCATTTAAATGAAATCTGGATAATTCAAAAATCACTTTCAGATAGAATCCAGGCTTAATTGTAGATTAATTGACATAACAGATCCTTGTTTCAAATTTATATTTTCTAGATAAATGTTGTCACTGAATGCAATTTATTCCAGTGCATAATGTATGACAATCACAGCACAAGTGACAACTGTGAAGCTTTTTCTAACAACAGCATTTTGTGTAAATGGTGGATGAAATTAACAGCCTCCACTCAAGCAAAGTGAAAACTGCTCCTGTGACGTACTTACCTCCCAGTTAAATATAAGATGTGCATTGAAATGCAGAATGAAACAGTTCTTAGGCCTTCTCCAAAGAAAGCAAATACACCAAGAACTTCAAACTAAATAAAAAGTGCAGTCATGTATCTCTACATGTTTTTATTCTCTCATGTTAGAAGCCAAAAAATCTTTTAATCTCTTCAAATGTATCATGGCAATTGCTCTGTATAAACTGATGTACAGTTACTTCACATTTTCTGCAGTTTCTTATGAAGTGTCATATTTAATCAAGGGCAGTCTGACTGCATAGCAGTGGTTTGGCATCATTCCTTCTGGCTGCTCTGACATTCTGTGGCAGACAAGGAAATCATTGTAGGAAACCCCTGCGTGTGATGACATGCAAAAGTCACATAACTAAAACTAAGATAGACTAATGCCCTCGTAATTTTAAAGTCACTTTTAGCACTATTTATATGTCTGATTCATGTAAGTCTTCTGTCTGGTAAAAAAAAAGGTGCAAAGTTGCTGGGTAAAACAAACCGGCTCAAGTCACACCTTTTGGAAGTCAGTCAGTGCTTTTTTTGCCTGTTTTCCATTGGTCCTTCTACACTTTATGTCCCTCTTACCTAAATGCAAGCCGTACCATTCTGCCATCTGATTTAATTCAGATACATGGACCACTAACACCAACTTCAGCCGCGGGAAGCGCGCAGAGGTACAAATCCTGCCCCCCGCTCTGTCCCCATGGGCCCGTTCCCGTCCCAGGGCTCACCGTGACCCACATCGCCTCCGCTCCCCGCGCACACCGCGACCCAGCCCGTGGGGCAGCGGGGCTGCAGCCGCCTCGGGAGGTGCCTGCGTGTCCCGACAGCTTTTACCGGGGAGGTTCGGCGGGCGCCTGACCGCAGCCTCGCCGCGGGGACCCCGCGCACGCGCCCGATCCCGGGCAAACACCCGACGGCAAGCGCCGCACTGCGCGTTCCTAGGGAGGGCGCAGCGGAGGAGTGGCGCATGTCAGAGCCCCTTCGGCCCCCCGTTCCTGCGGGCTCGGGGCGCGGAGCGGGGCTCGGGGCGCGGAGCGGAGCGCGGCCTTACCGCGGGACGGGAGGGAAGGCGGCGCCCCGCGGGGGCAGCGCCCGCGCCCGCCAGCAGAGGGCGCTGAGGAGGGCGAGGGCGAGGAGGAGCGGGGAGGCGCCGCGGTGCTCCATGGCCGCCACCTGCGGAGGGAAGAGCGCAGCCGTCACCCTCCGACCCGGCCCTCCCGCACCCGCTGGCCCCGCGCTGGGGCACCGGGACTTCGCCTCGGACCGCCGAGCGACTGCCCCGGCCCCGCTCCCAACCCCAGTCCCTGTCCCGAAAGATGCCGCCGGCCGGCAGGGTCGCGATGGCGGGGCAGCTGCGCGCGGTCAGGGAGAGCTGGCATTCCCGAAGGCGACCCCGGCCCGGTGCGAGGGACAGCGGTGCCCGGGGCTCAGCGACTTAAGCGGTAACAAGAGAGGGTCCCGCCCCGGCTGCCTTGGGCTTTCAGAATCTCTCCCCGCTCCCCGACGGCCGGGTTGGCTTCCCTGCAGGTCCGGGAGGGGCGAAGAGGAGCGAGGGTACGGGACGGGGACATCCTTCCTCATGCGCTGGAAGTTGCCGCTGCGTCGGGGAGAAAGTTACTCACGGAGCCGCGAGTCCGTCGGTGGGTCTGGCTGGGCGGGCGCGGAGCGGAGCGGTGCTGGGGGAGTGCGCTCTGCTCCGCTGCGCGGCTGCCGGGGCGGCGGCAGCAGAGGGTGAGGAGGAGGAGGAGGATGAAGAGGAGGGCTCCGTCTCGCCGCACGCTCTGAGCTGCCCGCCGCGCCACCGCGTTTTATAGCGTTTACACGTTTCTGCTTCCGAAGAAGCAATCACGTTACTGGAGAGACGTCACCCTTCCCAAGGGGACGGTCGCTTTGTTCAGGACAGTCAGAGACTTATATTTAACACATGAGCAGTCGCGTACCTCTTCCCCCTCCCCCTCACCCCCTCGGCCATTATTTGATTTATGTTAATGACATAGTTTTGGAGGAGTGGAGCCCCGTCGGAGGGGTGATTCCGCCTGGCCAGGCGGGAGAGCAGGGTCTGCGGGCGCGCCACACCGCGCATCCCTGCCCGCACCCGGGATAGCCGGAGCGAAGGTGGCTGCACTCTCCGGGCCCCTCCGCTCCCAGCCCGTAATCCCCCAGCCCCCGTGCTTCCCTGAGGAGCCCCTTCCGCGCCGCGGGGTTGCTCCTTTCCCTGGCTCCCCGGCAGTGTTTCCGTGTTAAGCTGGTCCCTCTCTGCCCCCGGCACATGTAAGTCCCTGATGCGGGTTCCCGCCCGAGGTGCGCAGGGAGCTGGTCTGAAAAACAAAATTTTCCTACGGGTTTTAGTTTGGTTTTAGCAGGTGTCGAGGTGCTTTCTACTCTTCGCTATCTTGTTTAAACTGCGTGCGTGTTCCGTGGAACACGGATTAACCCCCACATCCAAGCGCCTCTTGGTGCAGGCGAGCACGGCGGGTGCTTGTGACGGTTCCGCGGATCCCAGCGCCGGCACGCGCTGCGCGGGCGCGCAGGGAACGCGGCTGGAGCGTATGTTAAACCTCCCTGAGCAGGAGGGGGATCAGCTCTTCCTTCTAAGGTGTCTTAAGCCCAGACCTCGCGGATGCCACAGCAAGGGAGAATCGGTTTCAAGCCTTTGATTTTTCTCCTTCGAATTTCCCTGCCTCAGAGAGATCTGTGGGCAGCAGGGAAAGAAACACGGGGGAAGTGGGCGTGGGACCCGCGGGCGGGCCGGCAGGACGGCGCTGCTCCAGCAAGCACCTCTTCAGTATCCCACCGTATCTTTTCGGTGCCTGCCCTGAAATATTTGCCAAACAATCGCGGAAGAATTTCAGCTGTAAAGATAATCATCCACTTCACCCCCCCCCTTTTTTTTTCCCCCCTTTTTTCTTTTTTTTCTTGAGCTTTTGTGCCTCTAATCCTACTCAGTCGGTAACGATTGTACCAAATCCACACAGCCGATTTCACCATTTCTTCTTACTTCTAATAAGTTTTTCTGTTTCATGTTTCACTAAAGGTTAGGCAGGCTCAATGCGAAGATTCTGCGATGCTTAATCACATTTTCTAATTCAGTTACATAAAGAATAAGTGAATTAGATTAAAAATGCCTGGAAATTTGTTTCTCGGATGACAGCTGTGACTAAAACCAGAGTTCCTGCAGTAGTCTAATTTCAGGAAATTTTCCCCTTGTTACTACATAACTAGGGGTCGAAGGAGCTATTCTGCTCCGGAATGGCGGGATGAGCATCAATGGCACCGTATTCCCCTCACCTCAGAAATATCCCGGCTAGGGCGCATAGGCGTTGTGCAGTGTGCACGACCTGGGGAAGCCCGGTGGTCTTCACTCAACTACTCGCAAGAGGAGAGAGGAAGGAGAAAGCCATCTCCTGGGTGGCGTAGGGACGCGTGCCCGGGGCACGGGGAGGTGTGCGGATGCCCAGTCCCCTGGCCTGGAGCGGCGAGGGGAGGCTGCACTCGGCAGCCCGCGGCTGTCCCCGCTCCCGCTCCTCAGCCCCAATTCCCAGCCCCGCTCCTTCTCCTCAGTCCCGCTCCCGCCGAGGGCGCCGCTGCGGGAAAAGCCAAAGGCTGCTGGCAGCAGGAAGCGGAGAAGAAAGAAGTTTCCTTTCTTCTTGCGCTAGCAAGCCTGAGCCAGCGCAGCCTGTAGAGGGGGTCTCGCAGGAGTCCTGCGGACTGCGGTCCCTGGCAGGAGGAGGGGAGCAGCCAACTCAGTCTAGGGGATACGCGAAAAACAAGTCTGCTGTCATTTGCTATGTGTGTGCAGTATGGGTGGCTGCGTGCTCTGAGGAGATGTGTATAGACTAAAAATTGGAGAATCACTGGCAAGTCCGGGCTGTCTTACCACACTGAGCCATTTGTGGCTGTGATGTACCGCACTGCACCCTTCCATACCGTACCTGGTGAATCTGGCTTGCTGTAACTTTTGTTTTTGCAGGTAGTACACTAGGTTGGACAACATGCTGTTAGGCCGGCTAAAGCAGCCTCAGAATGGCCTCAGAACATCTCTAGGGATGACAGTGTTGATAAAGATACCTCTCTAGGGCTCCCTTAAGGATCTGAGAAATATGTAGTGCATCTAATCTAACAATGCCATCTATTTTCCCTATTCTATGGACAAGAAACTGAATCATAGGGGAATCAAGTGGGTCCTCTTGTTTACTCAGGAAGTCTCCAGTGGAGCTTTGAATTGGCCCCAAATGCCCCAAGCACCCTTCAGCTGCACTAACAACTGCCTGCATTTCCCTTCAGCATCCTGTTGCAAGCCACCAACTCCTCCTCTTGAAGACAAACTGAAGAACAGATGCCACCTCCCCTTTCTCAGTCCTTCCTCACAGGAAGGACTTTCATTGAAGGAGGTTGGTTTGGGATGACTGACAAAGGTTTGGGATGGCAATCCAAATTCTATCTTTTCCATTTTTTTTCCTCCTGAAGCTTACACACACTACTATTTCAACATTTGATAGCAGTAAGTCATTAAAAGAAAATAATTCTTTATAAACATACAGATGGAGAAAAGACCCTTTTCCATTGATGTCCTAAGTGAGTCCTCCAAGATCTAGGCAGAAAATCCCTTTTTGGATGGTAGCTCCCACTATTTTGTACTGGAAAACCTGTGCCCTTTCAGGAAAGTGTCACTTGGGAGAAAATAGTGCTTGAGAGCATCTCGAGGATAATAATTAAACACAGGCAACTCCTGCAAAATCAAGTATTTTTCAGTGGTTTTTATAGGAATCCTGATGCACGGCACTGTCACATTTACTGAACCTTTTATCTTTATTTTATATGTTATCAAATATCTTTTGGTTACTCTCCATTTTTGCTTCAATTTATTCTTTAATATTCCACTTAATAAAACAAAAAAAGTTGCAACTATATTAAAATAAAAGTGTTACAGTTATAAAATTTCAATATTTAGGAATAATGGAAAACCAATTTAGACAAGATGCACCAAAGAGCAAAAGTTTTCTGAAAGTTTGTCTTACCATTTGTATACAAACTTGTGCAATGTACGTAAATCAAGTATTACCTAAAATAGCTAAATCATCTGGAGTAAGAAATTTGGGAGTTCTAAGGTTTGTTAGTCAGATTTGCTTACTATTTTTAGCATGTAAAACTGTTCTGAAATTGATGTGCTAAAAATCTCTTAAAGCCAAATCCTTACATGAGAGAAACCAGCTTAGTTTTATGAAGGACCTGCTTATCATTTACCAAATTTATAATGTAATTGTATTTGAAAAAGGGAATTACATCAGAATAGAATTAACATTTTGTTTGGAAAAAAAAAGAGATAAAAATACTAAGAGACTTGTTTTAGGACTTTCATATTGTATCAGAAAAGGAAACTTCTACTGACTCATGAGCTCTCTCTTACGAATCATTGGGTTAGCAGAATGTCCCCTGTGCATTACAGCTCATGTTGCTGTGGATGAGTTCAGAAGCTTTGCCTTTGATCCCATAGCCACCGCACATTGATCCATGAGTTTTTAGAGCTTATAGAGCAGATTGATGGTGCACTAATAGTCAGCAGCTAGCAGAACAGCTTTTTCAACTTTCACAAAAGAGATAACATGAAAATTCAAGAATCTGTATATGAAGAATAAAAAATACAACTAAAAATTGATAAACTAACCTGGCCTTCTCTAATCCTTTAATGGCACGATTAGCATATGCTCCAATATCTGCTTTCAGCATCATGTTGCAGTGCTGGATCCCACTCTCTCATAAATATTCATATTCCTCAATATCACCTGGTTTGATAAAATGGATGAAATGCTGAAAGGAAAATGCTGAAACTTTTTCCAGCATCACTTTCTTTGCAGCTGTCTCTGAATGCTTCTCAGAAGAAATAAGGAGAAAACCATCAGTTTGTTCTTTTAGGTAAGTTTTATTACAGAAGTACAATCCACATACCTTTAGCCTGAGTGAGTTCTGCAGACTCAGAAATGTGATGCCAAGCAGAATAAAACACAGACAATTTTTTTTTTTTTAATTAAAAACTCATGAGTTCTCTTCTGCAACACAAACATTCAGGAGAATAGTGCTTTCTCCTTAGAGCACTTCAGATCCCAGGCTGCAGGTGGGTCACAGGTGGAGCCGGGGAGCCTTCATTTTTTCTCTCACCCTTTTTGAGTCCTGGTTTCAGGTCATAAGTGTGGATCCTCAGAGCAGAGTTATCAACTGAAGCAAATGCCTGCAACATGTAAATTGTATTAACAAACATGATACTGTCTACACCACTTGAACAAGTTCCTCCTGTTCCAGGTACCTCTGCATTATTAATCTGTGTGGGTTAACAATTTTCAGAACCAGCTTTCAAAACTACTGGAGCATTTGGATTATGCCCATGACTCCCAAACAGACTTCCACCATTTGCATTCATATGTCTGGGTAAGTCATCAGCATCCATGTCAGAGACCTGCTTGATTAAAACGTCTGAATAGAGGTAGTGATGAGCAAAAGGCAGCAAGAGAGCTGCTGACTCCTGTGATACTTCCAAGGTTCTTTCCCCCTTGCCTGGGACATTATCTGGGAAAACTCCAAATGCTTCTAGTATAGTTCTGTGTTTTCCTATCCCCTCTCCTTCACCCCAGAATGCAATCTCAGCTTCTCTCAAAGACTCCAAAGCGGTTTGGGATAGATATTTTGTTCTTCATGTGCTTATGTTGTCTGGTATGTCCATCTGGTTCAAGATATGCAGCTGTCCTAGGAGTGTAGGTCCAAATTCCTTCTCATTCTTTAGCA